AGCACAGTAGTTTATACTGCCCGGCCGTATTTCTGCCTTTTACCAAAAGATCTGTATACTCGCCAGTGTAGACTGAGGTTCTGAGCAGCTGCTTATTGGAGTAAGCGGAGAGATTGAAAGTGGCATGTAACCCCTCCTTCCACCTCCAACCAGAGGAGAAGTATGAGAAGGTGAAGAGGTAGAAGAGGAAACTGGCCAGGTACAGCACCCTAACATGGAGTCTGAGGTCTACAAGTTCCACAAATTCTCTCTCACAGCATGACAACATTTAGAATAATACCAGCTGTATGTGGAGTGTCTCTATGTGTTGATTAGCATTCTGGACACTACACATAAGTGATCCCACTTAATCCTCTGAGGAAGGAACTAGCATGCTTCCCCTATTAGAGATGAGGAAACTGAAACTGTGCCTCAAGAAAGAGCTCACCCAAGATCACGTGGACCGGAAGTGGCAGAGTTGGGGCTCAGGCCTATGTCAAGGGTCTCTTCAGCACCCAGCACTGCCCTCATCCCTAAATGATAGCAGTGACCCTGCCATGAGCAGCCCCTGCCCCCATCACCTCCTGGGGGGAGGAGTTGGAGGCTCCATATGCCTCAAGGTATTGGAGCTGAAAGAGGACTCACTTCTAGAGTGTGGTCCCGGCCCCTGGCCAGTCCCTCCCAGCGGCCATCAGCCAGTGGGAGTGGGCCACCCAGGGCCCGAGACACCTGCCAACCTAATGAGTTTATGGTCCTCCTTATGGTTGACGGTTACTTCCCTCTATTTGGGGAAAACAGATACATCTTCTCAAGAATTTACTCATTCTCGAAATGCAAATCAAAACCACAATGAGATACCATCTCACACCAGTCAGAATGGCTATTATTAAAAAGTCAAAAAATAACAGATGCTGGCAAGGAGAAAAGGGAAGCTTATATGCTGCTGGTGAGAATGAAATTAGTTCAGCCATTGTAGAAAGCAGTGTGATGATTTCTCAAAGAACTTAAAACAGAATTACCATTTGAGCCAGCAATCCAGTAAATGGGTATTACTAGGTATATACCCAAAGGAATATAACTCATTCCATCATAAAGACACATGCATGCCTATGTTCACTGCAGCACTATTCACAATAGCAAAGACATGGAACCAACCTAAATGCCCATCATTGGTAGACTGGATAAAGAAAATGTGGTACATATACACTGTAGAATACCATGCAGCCATAAAAAAAAAGAAATCTTGTTCTTTGTAGCAACATGGATGGAGCTAGAAACCATTATCCTAAGCAAACTAACGCAGGAACAGCAAACCAAATACCACATGGTCTCACTTACAAGTGGGAGCTAAACATTGAGTACACAAGGACACAAAGAAGGGAACAACAGACATCCAGGCTGGGTGGAGGGTGGGAGGAGGGAGAGGATGGAAAAACTACCTATGAGTACTATGCTTCTTGCCTGAGTGACAAAATAATCTGTACACCAAACCCCTGTGACATGCAATTTACCTGAAATGTAACCCCCAAACCTAAAATAAAAGTTTAAAAAGAAGGATTGATGGCTGGGGGCAGTGGCTCACGCCTGTAATCCCAGCACTTTGGGAGGCCAAGGTGGGTGGATCACCTGAGGTCAGGAGTTCGAGACCAGCCTGGCCAACATGCAGAAACCCTGTCTCTGCTAAAAATATGAAAAAATGAGCTGGGCGTGGTGGAACACACCTGTAATCGCAGCTACTCTGGAGGCTGAAGCAAGGAATTACTTAAACCCAGAAGGCAGAGGCTGCAGTGAGCCGAGATCGCACCACTGCACTCCTGCCTGGGTGATAGAGTGGGACTCCATCTCAAAAAAAAAGAATAGAAAAGAGGCTGGGTGCGGTGGCTCAAGCCTGTAATCCCAACGCTTTGGGAGGCCGAAGTGGGTGGATCACGAGGTCAGGAGATTGAGACCATCCTGGCTAACACAGTGAAACCCCGTCTCTACTAAAAATACAAAACAATTAGCCAGGCGTGGTGGTGGGCGCCTGTTGTCCCAGCTACTCGGGAGGCTGAGGAAGGAGAATGGCGTGAACCCGGGAGGCAGAGCTTACAGTGAGCAGAGACTGCGCCACTGCACTCCTGGCTGGGTGACAAGGCAAAACTCCGTCTCAAAAAAAAAAAAAAAAAAATAGAAAATTAAAAAAGGAAGAAGGATTGATTCCTTCTCAAAATGACCTCTCTTCACACCAGCTCAGGCACCGTGAGTTCTCTGAAGTGAGACAAAAATCCAAAGCCTCTGCACTCCCAGGTCTTCATGGAGATGCTTCGTGCTCCTGGCGACCCTCTCCTCTCAGGGCAGATTAACCCAGGAACACAGGGGACTCGCAGACAGTGGGAAATGCTGCAGACAGATAAACCACAGCATGCTGGGGCTGGCTGAGGGGAGGGCTGGAAGGGGCTCTGCATGCATGAGAATTGCAGTTCTTTATTCTTCTTAATACTTTATTCCACAGCAGCCAGAGTGTACGGGAAAAAGATAGCTGGGAAGAGAGAGAGAGAAAGACAGAGAAGATAACGGTAAGCAACAGCGGAGACATGGCCGGTATCACACCCCACCATGGCAAAGGCACCCTCTGTCGCACACCCAGCCTGCCCACTGGGCTCTGGGCTGAGAGTGTTGCCAGTATCCACATCCGCAAGAAATGGGCTCTGAGGGCCAAGGGGCACAAAGATGCCTCCCCAGTAAAGACAGTAATCTGGTCACCCTCCTCAGAAGTCACATCCAGGAGGGAGCAGCTCAGCTCCTTAGCTTCCCTCTCACATGGATGAAGTTAAGGTCCTGCCTAACACCCCCAACACACACACACACACACACACACACACACACACACACAGCTGAGCAGTATCCTGGCTTGGGTCACGGAAGGGTGCCCCTTGGTTCCCACCCCCTATGTCAGAATGAGTGATGTGCTTTCTGCCTCCACCCTCTCTCTCCTCCCCAGGAAAGAGGTTTCCAGAGCTGCTAGTTAGCCATAAAAAAAAAAAAAAAAAGCAAACCTTCCACCCAGGTTCAGTCTTTTACTCGAGGATTCTGTTTCCATGGCAACCAAGCCTACAAGGCCTCAGCAGTGATCTGTTATCTGACAAGGGGAACACAGGAAAGGCTGCCCCGGGAACAGTGGAGTTAAGGCTGACTGCGCCCCGTGTGTATCAAACGAAGGGTCTCTCCGGCTTGTGGACAAGAGACCTAATGATTCCCCCGGTGACACTCTCCAGGGAGCAAAAGCAAACACTGTCCCAGAGCTGCCTTGCCAACATTTCTGGCTCCTTTTTCTTTCCCCTCCCACTTCGACCCTCCTCCTTCCCCTGCACACCCCTACAGGCCCCCACTCATGCCTTAAGGCTCTGCAGAGCCCTATAGATATACCCTAGGCTAAAGAGATGACGACCCTTGCTACCTAAAGACAATGTTTGACAGAAAGCAATGAAACCATCTAAGACCTGTTTAAATGGATCTAGGCCGGTTCATTGGAATCAGTGGTTCTCAGCCAGAGCAATGTTGACTCCCTCCCCAGGGTACATTGGGCAATGTCTGGAGACGTTTTTGACTGTTAGGACTGGGGCTTAGGTGGGCAGGGAGAGGAATGGAGGTACTGACATCTCATGGGCAGAGGCCAGGGATGCTGCTAAACATTCTAAAATGCACAGGACAACTTCACCAAAGAATTATCTATCTGAGCCAGGCACAGTGGCTCACACCTGTAATCTCAGTGCTTTGGGAGGCCAAGGCAAGAGGATTGCTTGAGCCCAGGAGTTCAAGACCAGGCTGGGCAACATTAAAAGGCACTGTCTCTACAGATAATTTTAAAAATTAGCCAAGCATGGTGACATGTGCCTGTGGTCCTAGCTACTTGGGCGGCTGAGGCAGGAGGATCACCTGAGCCCAGGAGGTCAAGGGCGCAGTGAGCTGTGAGCATGCCACAGAACTGCAGCCTGGGCAACAGAGTGAGACCCCGTCTCAAATGATAAATTAATTAAATAAATAAATAGAAAAAAAAAAGAATTGTCTGGCCCAAAATATCAATAGGGCCATGGGTTCAACAGCTTATGAACTGTATTTCTCTTTTTTTTTTTTTTTTTTTTGAGACAGAGTCTCGCTCTGTCCCCCAGGCTGGAGTGCAGTGGTGCGATCTCGGCTCACTGCGAGCTCCACCTCCCGGGGTCACACCATTCTCCTGCCTCAGCCTCCCAAGTAGCTGGGACTACAGGCGCCCACCACCACGACTGGCTAATTTTTTGTATTTTTAGTAGAGACGGAGTTTCGCCATGTTAGCCAGGCTGGTCTTGATCTCCTGACCTCGTGATCCACCCGCCTCGGCCTCCCAAAGTGCTGGGATTACAGGCGTGAGCCACCGTGCCCGGTCTATGAACTGTATTTCTATAAATAAATAAATACTCATAGGACATTGGTTATCCATCATGAAAGATGGCCTATTTGAGGAAAGGGTATTTTTGTTTTTAATGAAACCTGCTTGGAGAATCTTTACAAAGATCCCCCTCCACTGGGATGTGAAAGAAAGTGTTAGATTCCAGGTCCTGTCACGGATTAAGGTTAAATCCAAAGCTGATTCAAGAGTTTTGAGGCTGGGGTCTACACTCCTCAGGATCAAGGAACTGGCTGAAAGTGTGTACAGAACGTCTGTCTGTGCATCTTTGAGTGGAATGAGCTCATAACTTTCGTCAGATTTTCAAGGGGGGAAGTGACTCAGAAAAGTTTGAAAACCAGCCATCTAGATCCCATTAGCTCTTCCCTGCACTGTACAGCCTCTGTCTCTCTTCAATCATAATTTCTCCTTACCCAGCACCCTGCCATGGTCCCACTTCTCCTCCAGCCCTGAGTCCACAGAGCCCACAGTCCTCCTCTCTTTGGCAGTCTCAAAGGGGCGATATCGTTGCCCTAACAGACATGAATAGACGTGTGGACACCTTCCCAGCCCCAGAATCTGACCTAGGCCCTACCCAAACTATGCGGCAGAGACATACCTGGTTTACCTTGACTTCATTCGGATTGGTTACTCGGTCCAGGCCGTAGTCCAGCACATTGTCCATTCCAGGCTAAACGGAATAAAAACAACATAAGGATCATTACAGGGAGTCTCTGGTTTCTGGTTAACTGTGGGTCTCAGTTAATCTGCCAATTGTGAGATCCAGCTGAGAAGAACTTGTGGCCTAGCCCACAGGAAGTTCTGAGTGGGTGTAAACCCTCCAGGTGAGCTGTTGAGCTTCATGAGGGCTGTTCTGTCTCCCAATATCCCCAGCACCTAACATAGTGAGATGGAAGGATGGATGGAGAGAAGAATGGGTAGAAGGGTGGGTAGGTGGATGGAAAAATGGACAGGTGGTTGGCATCCCCAGCACCATAGTGGGATGCATGGATGAGTGGATGGATGAACAGGTAAATGGGTGGCAGGTAGATGGTGGATGGGTGGATGAGTAAATGGATGGATGGATGGATGGATGGATGGCCAGACAGATGAATGGCATTCTCAGCACCAGAGTGGGATGGGTGGCAAGAAGGAGGCAAGGAGAGGGGGATGGGTGGATGGATGGATGGATGAATAGGTAAATGGGTGGTAGGTAGATGGTGGGTGGGTAAATAAATGGATGGATGGATGGATGGGTAGATGTACGGATGGATGGACAGACAGATGAATGGCATCCCCAGCACCACAGTGAGATGGATGAATGGAGGGATGGAAGGATGGATGGAGGATGGATGGATGGATGGGTGGATGGACAAACAAATGAATGGCATCCCCAGCACCATAGTGAGATGGATGAATGGAGGGATGGAATGGTGTATGAATGGATGGAGGGAGGGAAGGAGGGATGGATGGATGGATAAATGGGTGGTAGGTGGATGGTGAGTGGATGGGTGAAGAGATGAATGGATGGACAGATGGATGGATGGATGGATGCATAGACAGACAGATGAATGGCAAACTCAGCACCATAATGGGATGGATAGACAGAGGGACGGATGAATGGATGAATGGGTAAATCAGTGGTAGATGGATGGTGAATGGATGAGTGAAGAGATGGATGGATGGATGGATGGATGGATGGATGGATGGATGGATGGGTGGATGGATGTCAAACTCAGCACCATAGTGGGATGGATACATGGAGGGATGAATGGATGAAGGGAGGGAGAGAGAGATGGATGGATGGATGGATGGATGGATGAATGGATGGATGGATGGATGGTTGAATGAGTAGATGGATGGATGAGTGAGTGGACATATGAATGGGTAACATTCAGGCTCCAGAAGAGTTCACTGAGACTAATACATGGGCCTCCTGACTCTTCCCACAGTGCTTCCCCACACTCTGTGGTTTCGTCTTGGGCTGGGTGGGAAAAGAGAAGTGACAGAGCAGTGCTTTGGGAGAGTCCAGGCTTGTCAGGCACCTCTGGGTGCCACTCCTGGTTCTGCCACTTCCCAGCTATGCAGAAGAGCTTGGAAAACACTCCTTGTCTCGGCACTCACTAACCTCTCTAAGAAACAGAGAAGAAGCCTCCTACGTGGTAGGTTCTTGTGAAGATTTAACAAGATAGGGTGTGAAGCTCTCAACAGAACATAGCTATTGCTGAAGAAGGGGTTGTAGTCATTTTAAGATTATGTATGTAAAAGAACGGCCCAAAACTGGGACTATAATCTCTGTTAGCTCCCTTTTCCAGCAGGTAACCCAACTCTCCAGAAAATCTTACTTGATCTCTCTCAACTCCTTGACTCTTTGAGGCCAATAATTTGGGTCTTTCACTTCCCTTGATGCAGGTGTGATGCCAGGCATCCACCCATTGCTCAGCCCACGTGACCAACCAGGTTGGCTACACTGAAGCAGAGAGTTTAGAAGCAACTGGGCTTTCTTGCCATCAGATTCAGCCTCATCCATGGGATCAGACTGGGTTTTAGCTCAGACGTAAGACTTCCAGATAAAATGTAGGAAGTCCAGTTAATTTAAGATAAATGGCAAATAATTTCTGCCCCAATATTTTGATGCTTATTATATGTTTATACTAAATATACAAAATACATTTACGTAAAAATTATTTGTTGTTTATCTGAAATTCAAATTCAATCAAATTTCCTGTATTTTATTTGCTAGCAACCTAGCTCATTAGGCTACCATGGAGGCAAATATGTGCAGACAAGACAACACAAGGAAGAGAAAGGAGAAGGCAATAGAAAGTGGGTGGGGAGGAGGACAGGGAAAGGGAACAGCCATCCTTACCCTAGTTGTTACAAGTGGATCTTGATCAGCAAATATCTATGGGGTACTTCCTATGTGCCGGACATTGTGCTGAGCCCTGTGGAGCCCATGGTGAGTGTGCCCCGAGACCACTGCTCCCCAGCAGGCATATTGAGGCACTCCCAGTCTCAAGGGGGAGGTAGCCACTCAGCAATTAATCACACAAAGGATAAATTACAGACGAGACAGGTGTCTTGAAGGCATAACACCATGGGATCTAACCTCACATGGCAGGGGCTCAGCAAAGTCAGTGTCTTTGCCAAAAAGGGTTCTAGGAGTTGCCCCCTGAATCTGTTATGGAGAAATCCCCCTGCATAACTGAAGACAGACTTCATACACCCACTTTGGCACGTTCACACACTCTCACACTCACACACACCCACACACTCTCATACATACATATTCATACTCACACATGCTCACAAACATACATGCCCTGACACACCGGCACACTTACACACACGCATGCTCACATACATGCACACACCTATGCATATTCCCACATGTACATATGCACACCCACATATGCTGACATATATGCATGACCTGACACACATATACACACATTAATATGGTTTGGCTCTGTGTCCCCACCCAAATATCATCTTGAATTGTAATCTCCATAATCCCCAGGGATTGAGGGAGAGACCTGGTGGGAGGTGATTGGATTATAGGTGTGGTATCCCCCATGCTGTTCTCATGATAGTGAGTTCTCATGAGATCTGATGGTTTTATAAGTGTCTGACAGTCCCTCTTTCACATACTCGCTCTCTCTCGCCTGCCACCATGTCAGACGTGCCTTTCCCCCTTCCACCGTGATTGTAAGTTTCCTAAGACTTCCCCAGTCATGCAGAACTGAGTCAATTAAACCTTTTTCCTTTATAAATTACCCAGTCTTGAGTATTTCTTTATAGCACTATGAGAATGAATACACAAAAACATGCTCACATACATGCACACACGTATACATGCTCACACATGCACACATTCACACACACTCACACATATGTGCACACTGACACATACATACATGTTTACATGCATGCACACACCTAGGCACACTCTCACACATACATATGCACACTCACACTCACATACATGCTCACTTACATGCACACATCTACACACACTCTCACACATACATACACATGCTCACATACATTCACACCTTGACATGCCAACACACAGACACACATACATCCTCACATACATGCACACATGTACACACACTCGCACGCATACATTTGCACACTGTCACTCACATACATGCAGACCCAGACACACTGACATGCACTCACACTCACTCACACACACACACAGCCTGTGCCCATGACGCCCTATAACCACTGTCTGGCTGCTCTTCCACAGGTGCTCACTGCCTCAGTGACTTCAGTGTGGTCACCTGCTCAAGTCTTGAATTCGTTATCTAGTTCTTTCCTTCCAACGTGCCCCAGGCTCTGACATAAATTTGGTTGCCCCAGTGCTCAACAGTGCACTGCATAACTGAGACAGACTCCTCTGTGCCCTCAGCTGCCCAGACCAGATGGCCTTAGACTCTCAGATCCGCAGCCACCCACTGAGCTTCATGATTCTGCCAGTCTGTCCAGTTCTAGCCCCAACCTGGCTCTCCACGCCTCCCCTACAGAACAGCCAGGCACGGTCCTCTGGCCGCTGCTGCCTTGGCTCTTGAGCCTCTGTGGGCAGCAGCCCTTGAGTCTCAGTCGTTCCCAATCAAGCCGTGGTCCTTTTCCAGTTCCCTGCCCTTGAAACTCATGAGGGCGCTGCCTTTCTGCCTCTGCTGGTTTCAGAGACCCCCAGGCTCCTTTCATTCATCCATTTCTTCATTCATCAGGTAGTGTAAAGTCTTTGATCCACTGTGATCATCACCAGAGCACTGCTGACGCAGTTTCTGGCACATAACAGGGTGTTCAGATGAAGATAACCAGGACTGACTGTTAGCACCCAGGAAGTAAGGGCAGCCAATGCATCCTGCGGTGTGCCGCTCGCAGATAAGGAGGCAGCAGGCGCTTTCTGCCCTGGTGCCTCACGCAGGAAGCCTTCAGAGACCTGCAAGCTCCCCTCCTTCATCCTGAGGAACTGTGAACACCAGGGTGTGACCCTGCCACCGCCAACAACATCCCTTGGGTGTAAGCCGAAGAGGCAATTTGCTCAATGCCTCATCGTTCAGGTCAGGAAAGGAGCTCCTGTACTCGTGACAACTGCTGGTGAGGAGGCGACGTTCCCAGACACCCACATACAGAGGAGGGCCAGCGTGGGAGCTAATGGTCACTTCTCGGTGGCACTCCACCGTGTCCCCCCGCCCCTCCTTCTCTCAGCTTCACTCTCTTCCCAAAAGTATCAGACTCTTCTGATGCATGGAATAGAAAACAAATAATAAATAAAACACTAACTCGTTTTCTAAACAAAATAAGACAGGGGAAAGAAATAGAGATGAGGCCAGGCGTGGTAGCTCATGCCTGTAATCCCAGCACTTTGAAAGGCTGAGGCAGATAGATCATGAGGTCAGGAGTTCGAGACCAACCTGGCCAACATAGTGAAAAACCGATCTCTACTAAAGTTACAAAAACTTAGCCAGGCAAGGTGGCAGACACCTGTAATTCCAGCTACTTGGGAGGCTGAGGCAGGAGAATCGCTTGAACCTGGGAGGCAGAGGTTGCAGTGAACTGAGATCACACCATTGCACTCCAGCCTGGGCAACAGGGCGAGACTCTGTCTCAAAAAAAAAAAAAAAGAAAGAAAGAAAGAAAGAGAGTCGAGGTGAAACAGGGAGACAATTTTACATTGCAGCGTTAGGAAAGTCAGCTCCTAGAGGATCTTGGCTTGAATGTCACTCTCCACATCCTGTGTTCCATGTTCCCTGACCACCAACTGGACACAGGGTCCCTGCCTCCTACCAGCTGCTGTGGTATTCTGCATGTTACTCATTCATTGGTTTAATCATTTTAGTCTTTGTCTCTCTACCAGACTACAGGAAACTCCTTGAGGTCACGGGCATTGTCTGTCTGTCTTGGCTCATAATCCAAATATCCCCATTGCCTAGTAAGCGCCCGGCATAGAGCAGATATTCACAAAATATACGTTAACTTTTTTTTTTTTTTTCTGGACCACAGCACATGGAGCATTCCACCCACCCTGGTTTTATAATATATTATGTGTCAGGCCGCCACAGTGCCTCACGCCTGGAATCCTAGTACTTTGGGAGGCCAAGATGGAGTCAGGAGTTCAAGCCCAGCCTGGCCAACATGGTGAAACCCCGTCTCTACTAAAAATACAAAAATTAGCCAGGTGTGGTGGCAGGCACCTATAATTCCAGCTACTCAGGAGGCTGATTCAGGAGAATTTCTTGAACCCAAGAGGCAGAGGTTGCAGTGAGCCGAGACCATGCCACTGCACCCCAGAGTGAGACTCTGTCTCAAAAACAAGCAAAAAACAACAAACAAACAAAAAACACATTATATGTCAGATCATTTTCCTAGGTCAATGAATGGCCTTTGAAAATATTATTTGAAGCTTCACAATGTTCCATCGTGTTAATATACCTCAATTTATTTTGCCATTTTCCATGGTTGGACATTTAGCCCAACCTCAATGGGAAATGGAGGGCAGACATCTCTGGCAAGTGTCTGCATATGTGGTTGAAACAAGGGTCATTTAGCTTGATATGCAGATAAGGGATCACTTGATTTAGCACACCCACCGCCAGGAAGCAGCCTCAGACTACATCCTTGGGAGGCAGGAAGTCACAGATGGCACAGCAAAGATGCAGGGAAGGCCTCCACATGACTGTCTAAGGGAGCACTTTCTCCCTTTGTTCATTTACAAAACTTACTGTTGTTTGCATCGTGCTCAGATCTGTACTTGGTACCATTTGGGTAAAAAACGGGTGAGGAACATCATTTTCCTTCATTACAGGATGCTGAATCACAGGTGTCATTTGGGCTCTGGGTAGGAATTCAGGTCAGAGCCCTCAACTACCACCACCCACGTGGGGTCTTGGCCTTTGCCAGCGATGATCTCCTTGATACAGCATCTATCAGACATTTCTCCCTGCCTTTCTAAATCAACCACCCTCTCGCTGTGCCCCTTCTGCATTTAGGTCTTATCTCTGGGAGAGTGTTACTCACCTGTGCTCCAGCAATTTGGATTTTGAGCTCCTTGAGCTGAGAGAGGGACCACGGGTGGGGCCTCCTTGCACAGAAGTAGCATATCAGGCTTTGCCATCAGAAAGGTGTGGCTTCCTCTCCCAGAACTGAGCAGGCAACTGAACTTCAATGAGCCTCAATTTCTCCATCTGAATAATGGGGATGGTGATATTCCCTACATCATAGCATTGGACATCAATGAGGTCATCTGTGCCAAGAGCTTAATACAGGCACAGAAGAGCACTCAATGACTCTTGACTGTTATTTCACACCCAGCACCTAACCCCTTCCCTGGGACAAAGTCAAGGCTCAATGAAGGTTTCATGGATCAGTGAACAGACAAATGAACAAGTGAATGAGTAGGTTCAGTAATGGCAGGCCACGTCTCACTCTACAACTGTTGGTTACAGTCTGACACGGAGTGGCCATGACACTCCACAGCGCCAAGTACTTTGTTTGCCTTGGCTGGCTTTTTTTCCCATTGAACTGACGGTTTGTTTGGGTCTCCTGGAAACAGTCTGGCAGTCTGTGAGCTCCGGGGCTTCCTGAGCCTGTCAGTCAGATTGCTCAATTTCTAGACTGAGATGCTCTTCAAAAACGCTACCTTCCACCCACTCAGGCCAACAGGCCAACAAGAGATGGGGAGAATTTTAAGAAAATCGCAGAGTGGGGCCACTGCACTCTCCTGCCTCATCTTTGACTACTGGTCTGGTTTTCGCTTAGGGAGCAGTCATGAAAGAGGTTAGATGTGGGGAGCAGTTTTATGTCCTGGAAGTTCTAGGACCACTCTGAGTCCATCAAAGCCTCAAGCTGAACTTGGGTCCCCAGTGCTGTCAAAGAGGGACCAGGCACGTGTGGACCCAGGCATTCAGCTTCTTAGAGCAGCAGTGACCCAGGCAACGTTCTAATGACCCAGGAGTTTACCAAAGGATTGAACTGCGCCAAGACATCACATGACATTGCCTGAGAGGCAGAAGTGCACAGGGCTAAGTCAGTGCAGGGGTTCCACAGTCAGCGGTATGTAGGTTCAGACCCTCTGGCACTTACTAGCTGTGTAACTTCCGGCAAATTAGCAACATCCTTGAGCTTTCACTTGCTTATCAGTAAAATGTGAATAATGATAAGCCCTTCCATACAGCGCTGCAAAGGTTCAATAAGAATGCAAAAGGCAGCCGGGCGCGGTGGCTCACGCCTGCAATCCCAGCACTTTAGGAGGCCGAGGCGGGCGGATCACGAGGTCAGGAGTTCGAGACCAGCCTGACCAACATAGTGAAACCCCATCTCTACTAAAAATACCAAAATTAGCTGGGCATGGTGGCGCGCACCTGTAATCCTAGCTACTCAGGAGGCTGAGGCAGTAGAATCGCTTGAACCCGGGAGGTGGAAGTTGCAGCAAGCTGAGATAGTGCCACTGCCCTCCAGTCTTGGTGACAGAGCAAGGCTCCATCTCAAAAAAAAAAAAAAAAAAAGAATGCAGAAGGCTTAGCACAGTGCTCAGCACACTGGGAGTTCTCAGTTCACGCCTACTGTGATGGTGATGGTGACAATGACCACAATGACGATAACAATAAGGGTGGTGGAGGTGGTGGTGAAAGTGGAAATAAGAGATGTGGTAGAGGTCAGGGAGATAAGGCAGGTGAGGCAGTGGGAGGTGGGATGACGGTCATGGTAGCGGAGATGGGCGGTGGGGAGGTGGTGGTCATAGAGACACGTTGTCATATTTATGTGATTCCGCATCATGCTGTGAAGAGCCATTCAGCCACTAGCCTGGTGGGGGCTGAGAGCTTACCCCAGGAGAACTGAGAAGAACCTGGCTGATCAGTTTTTCATTTTATTGCATAGCTAGTCCATGTCACTTTGCAAGGAATGTAGTCACATCGGCAATCCCACAGTGAGGAGTCTCTGCATATAATATAGAAGCCATTCTTTACCTTGAAAGAACCAGAGTTCCCTCAGGCATGGTGCCACTGGGCACGAAGGTGTCTTGCCAAATGTGGCATATCCACCACGTCTCCTTATCCTCACCACAGAGTGCTTCTGGAACACACGAGCAATGTGAGGCTCCTTCTCATACAGAGAGCTTCTACGCTACCAACCAGAAGGGATGCTTGTCTCCAGGACCCTGTTCTCTGTCACCCAGCCCCCAGATACTTGTGTCAGGCATCTATAAACTGGTTTCACTAGAGGAGAAACCCTGAAGCTAAGAAAAAATCAAACAAGCTGCTTGGGGATCAACCTCAGAACCTTAACCTCAGCAACACAGCATCCAAACCCATGCCCCTATAGGGTGGAACACCTTAGGAGAATCTGTTTTGAGTGCATAAATAAAATAAGCAAAACAACCAAAATCAGATGGGCTTGAAGTTCAAAACTCCATAAACTCTGACACCAGGCCTCACTCAGTTCTCTTTCTGGTTCTGAGAATGTCTGATACCTGGCAGGCAAGGAAGCTAAAGGAAGAGGAGGAAGAACATTTCTTTGTAACTCTTTGGTTTCCGGAATCTCATTCACATCTCCTACCTCCCCTGACCCATAGGCAGCACAGGGGGCTGAGACAGGAGGAAACTGAGGCAGCAGAGTTAATCCCAGTATGTGGCAGTCAGAGCCCACTTCCGTGTGCTGCAGGATGAGGCTACCATTTCCCAGTGATGATCTGGGGCAAGTTACACCAGCTCTGTACAGCTTGTCTCTCTAGGCCACTGAAAGTCCCAAAGCCAGAGATTCAGTGTGCTGCAAGCAAGAAGCAGCTCGACACAGACGTATTGTTTCTCCTCCTCCCATTTCAGCTGCTGGGAACTGGGTCTAGGAGAGGAAAAGGTGAGGGAGCAGGAGACACCAAGGAGAACTTTGGCCATGCAGTTTCCATTCTCACGGGACTCTATTTTTCTGCATTGGAGCCTCCATTGGGGCCTGCATTCTAATTTTTTTCTCCTTATATTCCTTTCCCAAGGTATGATATCCTAGTTAAAAAAAAAAAAGAAAAGAAAAAAGTCCCAGCCCCCATAAAAGACAAATTCATTCAGGTCTCTCCCTACCTAACACCAGCACATGGGCCATGAGCAGACCCCATCCAGACAGAGAACTTCCTTTTCTGGTCAAGAGGCCCTGGGATGCTAACCCGACACTGAGCAGCTCCTCCTGCTGATCCAATTCTCACCCTGGAGAAAGAGGACTTGGAAACAGGCATGGAGAGCACAGGATGGAGGTGGGTGGCACAGGAGGAGACAGAGGACACCAGGCAGGAGGATACTCACCGGGCATCGGTGCACCAGCCAGTATGCCTTCTCCTGGCAGTCCAGGGCATATCTGTCTGCTTTGTTCCTCTCCTTTCCAGCCCTGAAAAGCCAAAAGCCATGTTTAAGGCCAGGAAGACTTTGTATCTTTTGATTAGTGATGCCGCCGATTCCTGATGACCTAGACCCCTCTCCCAATCTGCCCAAGTAATTCACATATACTGTAACAGTAATGAACACAGCAAGTGCTGACATCACACTTAAGTACTAGCACCCTTCTAACCACTTTGACACGTATTAACTCTTTTAATTCCACTTAATCCTCCCAGTGGCCTTTTCTCACTTCAAAGTTCAGGGCACTGAAACAAAGAAGGGGTGAATGCCCCACCAGCCCACCAGGGTCACACTGCCAGCAACTGGCAGAAGTGGCACTTGCACGTGGGAGTCTGGCCAGGGTCTAACTCCCCTGGACAGCACAGTGCTGCACTGAGATCACACTGCCGCCACAAGCCCTAAATCAAACCAACTCCACCAACGTCAACATTGGAGCACAGTGCACATGGGTGACCCTCTGGCATCTGACCTCCTGGCTTCTTAACTTTTCCCTGTTTGGGCCAGCAACATAGTCAACGTCTGGACATCCCACCTGTGGGATGGTGACAAGGAAGATGCTGGCCTGGGGAGTCCTCTCTCCTCCCTGCCTGTGACTTCTACTCTGGCACTGCAAAGAGTTCATGCCACATCAGGGGTTTTTCTGAGCACACCTTATTGCTATAAAAGGCTATTTATGGCCCAGAGCTGTGGCTCATGCCTGTAATCACAGTACTTTCGGAGGCCAAGGCGGGCAAATCACTTGAGGTCAGGCGTTCGAGACCAGCCTGACCAACATGGTGAAACCCCGTCTCTACTGAAAATACAAAAATGTGCCGGGCATGGTGGCATGCACCTGTAATCCCAGCTACTCAGGAGGCTGAGGCAGGAGAATCATTTGAACCTGGGAGGCAGAGGTTGCAATGAGCCACGATTGTACCACTGCACTCCAGCCTCGGCGACAAGAGCAAAACTCTGTCTCAAAAAAAAAAAAAAAAAAAAAGCTGTTTATTTTCCTTTTTATCTCTCAGTCTCTCTCCCTTTCCCACTCTGGATGGGAAATGATGCAGGGCCTTCTTCCTCCAGGGGCAAAGTAACACTAATGATCCTGCCGTGGGCCCCCTTCTGTACCATTTCCACGGCGACCCGTGCTCACACTTGTTAATGCTTGTTTTCCCAGGCAACGTGGGATGACGCACATGCCCTCTGCTAGACAGAGTCGGCGGATTCATCTCCCCATTAACATACTGTGAAAAACATCATAACACTCAGGGAGCCAGATGGGTGAACAGCGCCATTTCATTTGAGCGTTCCGTCAGGCTCCTCTGGAAATTAAATATAAATACTGTCTTCAAACTTCCCCTTGACAGCCTAACTGGATTTTCTACCAGGTTAACTAGCCCCTGACCTCAGGAGCATAGGCCACAACTGGCCTGAGGCATTACAGAGTTTCCACAATGCTGGAAAGCTTGGCAAATAGAGTCACTCTCTGATTTACCCCATGGGTCCTTTCCGGCTTTGCTCTTCTGCTTTTCTGTGACAGATGTTATTAGAGGACAGTTGTGATAAACAGAATGCAAGAGAGTTAGTAACCTAGGAATTACTTTCGTTTGTCATATTGTGATTTTTTTCAGCAACAGCATCTGCTTAATTATTCATTCATTCGTTCGTTCGTTCATTCACATATTCATTGATCTTCCACTAAGTTCCAAGCACGGGGAGTCTGCTGGTGAACCAAACATAGTCCCTGCCCTTGAGTAGCTTTTAAACTAAACATCACATACGCAGTCAAAGAATCAATACAGAATTGCAAATTGCATTATGTGCCATAAGGAAACATTCAGGGTACCATCATGGAGCATCAGGATGGCCTCTGTGGTGATTTTTAAATATGTCTATAATTCTTTGACACTCTTTCCGTTGACAGATGTGGGTCTACGTCTCCTCCCCTTGAAGCCAGGTGGGATTTTGTGGTGGTTTCTGCCAACATGGGATGTCAGGCATGGCACTGTAATTTCTGAGGCTGGGCCATAAAAGGTGGGACAGCTGTCACCCTCCTTACTGGAATATGTGGTCTTGAAGTCCCCAAACACCTGTAAGCTATCTAACAACCCTCCCTGATGCAGCCATGTTGTGAGGGAGCTCAAGCTAGATCACAAAGAGATGCTACAAGAAGAGAGCAGGAAATGCCAGCCAGCCCCCAGTTGCTCCAGGACGCCAGCTCCAGCCATCTGCCAGCAACCACTCAAGAGTCAGAATTGATCCACTTCTGAGTCAGAATTGATCAGCCAAGACATTCCCAAATCCCTAACCTATAGAAATCAGGACACATAATAAAATAATTGTTGTTTTGAGCCACTGACTTTAGGATGATCTGAATGCAGCTAATCAGAAAAGCCTCTTTGTGGAAGTTACATTGGAAGTGAGTGTTCTCCCTGATAGCTAGAGAAGATGGAGTGAGGTGATCTTATTTGTGTTTCAAACATGGGGGCAAATTGGGAGCAGAGAGGCCAGTCGGGAGGATGTTGCCATGGTTCAGGTGATGGTGAAGGGGCAGTAGAGGTCCTGATATGGGTGATACTGGAGGAAGAGGTTTGGAGAGTGAGGGAAAGACATATTCGAATATGGACAAGGTAAGTCTGAGGTTTGACAGCAACGTGAGATCTTGAGTAAGTAGCTGGATGCTGAGTGTGGAACTTGGAAGATGGGACTTAGCATAACAAAACGACTACTTCATGGGCCAACCTATACGGTCAACCTCGTTTTGTGCTGAGACCCTAAATCTGAAATCAGAGGAGCCTTTAAGCCATAAAATTAGCAGGAAAAAGCCATCTCAAGTGGAGCAAGCCTTTCAGGAATCGCTCATTCCAAGGCACCTGGAAGAATGGAAGAGGGGAATGTCCCAGGATCTGGGCAGCACAGAGCTTTATCCCAGCTGAGGCCAAGGCCTTGGTGGTGGACCTGCAGGGATCACTGACAACAGCTCTGAGCTGCAAGAGCACCCAGAGCGCCCAGGAAAGCAGATATCAGGGTTCACAGTCCTGTGGGTTGCTGGGATCGTCCTGCTCAGAGCAGACAGGAGGAGGAGGGGATGGACGGGCTGAGGGAGAGGGGCACATCTTACCCATCTCTGTGTCCCTGGAGCCCAGCCTAGTGCTGGAACCCATCAGAAACTCAAAACTGGTGCAACAAATGGAATTAAGTAATATCAGCCCAAGTTCTACCATTATCTCAGCAAGTGACCTCAGCTAAGTAATTTTCACCTCCCTAAGCCTCAGTTTCCCCATTTGTAGAAATGCAGGGTGACAATAATTACTATGGTATTTCCCCACACCAACATAAAGTGAGACAGTACCCAAAAACTCACCACATGAAGCTTTATGAACAAATGTAAGTGATTAAAGATAACCCATGTTGTTTCGCCTCAAACGTGCCCAGGTAAAAACATGTTTGTGGCTAACAAGTAGTGGCGGCTCTCTCACTGATGTTCTACCTGGTTCTAAACCCTAAGAACATATTTTCCACCATGCAGGGCAATAAAGCTATTCTGCCATAAGAATCTATTTTTCCCGGACCAGCTGTCCCGTAAATAGTGTTCATCACTATTCCAATACCTAGGCTGCTGGGTGAGAATCAGGTCTTCCCCATCCAGCCCAGCTAAGCACCAGCAAGTCTAGACCTTCCTGGATCCAGGACTGTCACAGTGAGTGAGGTCGGACCGGGGGATCATCGCTTCTGGTAATCACCGGTGTGGGTCACCAGATGTTCCCAGCCGTCCCTCTTCTCAGGCACCTGGTAGGATTCTATGTCCCCACCCACCAACCTTTGAAGTTGACCTGCTTTGCCTTGTGACTCATGAGCAGGATGACAGTGCTGCTCTGATACACACAGGAAATCCCTGTCCCTGCTAAGCAACGCACAAAGCCCAGATGGTGCTGCTTCTTCTGCATGGGACCTGGAGGTGGGGAAAGCATGTCAGGGTCCCAGTTGCCCCACTGTGGATGGGGAGCACCAGCACGAAATGGACCTTATGGTTTCCAGCCCCTGAGAGTCGGGGGCTGTTTGTTATGATAGTCTAACCTTGTCATGACAGACACCCTCTCCCTACTACTCCCTGTCCCCAATATCTGCATCCGGCTCTCGTTAAGGCAGAGCCCTGGAGGGGACTTCCAGTTCCAGTTCTGATATGGCAACAGGCAAACGCAAGTGAGCGAGGCGTGGTTCTGACACGCGAATCTGATCACTGTGTATCCCTCCCCTGCTTAAACATCATTCTATGGCTCCCTGTGGCCCTCAGCACAAAGCCCTCTCACGATCCGCTCTTGCTAACATCTCTAGTTCACATCCTGCTAACTTCTGCCAGTTCCACACTTTGCACTCTCAGATGCACCTGCAAGGAACTGCTTGCAGTGGGCACACTCCTGCCTCCAGGCTCTGGTTCTGCCTGCTGGGAGCCCCTTCCTGCCACCACACCTCTCCTCTTCCTCCACAACTGCCATCCTTCACCTGGACCCCTCCTATGCATTCCCTGGGTTCAGTGCCATTTCTACGACTCCTTCTGAAAACCCCAGCCAGGTGGTCCTCATCTCGCAGCAGCACCATAGCCTATTCCTTCATCTGCCTGACCTGTGACACTGTGTCTTTTTATTCCCCCTGCCCAGCCCAGTGTTAGGCACACAAATGCTCAAAAACAAGTTTATTTTAATAAAAGGAAAGAGTCCAGGTGCAGCGGTTCACACCTGTAATCCCAGCACTTCTGGAGACTGAGGCAGGCCGATCATGAGGTCAGGACTTCCAGACCAGCCTAGCCAACATGGTGAAACCCCATCTCTACTAAAAATATAAATAATAATAATAATAATAAACAAAAATTAGCGGGGCATGGTGGTGGGCGCCTGTAATCTCAGCTACTTGGGAGGCAAGGGAGAAGAACCACTTGAACCCAGGAGGCGGAGGTTGCAGTGAGCCGAGATCACGCCACTGCACTCCAGGCTGGGCAACAGAGCAAGATTCTGTCTCAAAAAATAAATGAATAAAAAATAAAATAAAATAAATAAAAAGAAACAAAGAAGGAAGAGAGGGAGGAAAGACACCAAGAGGACAAGCATGGTCTCCTTTCACTCACCTGTACTGCTCTTTGGCCTGCATAATGACAAAGTCCCACTTATAGTTCATTTTTTGGTTCAAGAAATTGTAATTTTCCTGGAGAAGAAAAACAAAATGAGAACAGTAAGCCCCAAGACATATGCCATGTGCCACAGGGCAACAAACTCTAAGTTAACAAGGGCACACCCCTGGCTCATGGCAACCATGGACCCAGCCTGATGGTGTCTGAGCTGGTTTTACCCTGGTGTTCACTCAAAGAGCAGCTGAATTCTCAAAATGCTTTCATAAGAAGCCTCACTTTTATTGCTTTTGTTCACTTTTGTAAAAATAAATGTATCCCGGCCGGGCGCAGTGGCTCACGCCTGTAATCCCAGCACTTTGGGAGGCCAAGGTAGGCAGATCACAAGGTCAGGAGATTGAGACCAACCTGGCTAACATGGTGAAACCCAGTCTCTACTAAAAAGAATACAAAAAATTAGCCGGGCATAGTGGCGGGCACCTGTAGTCCCAACTACTTGGGAGGCTGAGGCAGGAGAATGGCGTGAACCCAGGAGGCAGAGCTTGCAGTGAGCCAAGATCACGCCACTGGACTCCAGCCTGGGTGACAGAGCGAGACTCTGTCTCAAATAAATAAATAAATAAATATATCCCAAATCTGATTAGGAAGAAAGCATCAAAGAAGAAAAAGAATTTGAAAATCATTTTTTTTTTTTTCTGAGACAGGGTCTTACTCTGTTGCCCAGGCTGGAGTGCAGTGGCACAATCATAGCTCACTGCAACCTCAAAGTGCTGGGCTCAAGCCATTCTCCTGCCTCAGTAGCTAGGACTACCTGTGCATGCCACCACACCTGGCTAATTTTTTAACCTTTCGTAGAGATAGGGTCTCACTATGTTGCCAGGCTGGTCTTGAACTCCTGGCCTCAAGTGATCCTCCCATCTTGGCCTCCCAAAATGCTGGGATTACAGGCGTGAGCCACCGCACCCAACCTGGAAACTCACTATTCAGCAACAGACCATCACAAATTCACAAAAATAAACCCTAAGATAAACCAAAGATAAGCCGGCCTTTCTGAAAACATGCCTGTAAGAATAAAAACACATGGCCTAACATGGTGGCTCACTCCTGTAATCCCAGCACTTCGGGAGGCTGAGGTAGGCGGATCACTTGAGCCCAGGAATTTGAGACTAGCCTGGGCCCCCTGTCTCTACAAAAAAATATGAAAATTAGCTGGGTGTGGTGGTGTGCCCCTGTAGTCCTAGCTGCTAGGGAGGCTGAGGCTTGAGCCCAGGAGACAGAAGTTGCAGTGAGCCGAGACTGCACCACTACATAACCCACCACTATAGCCTGGGTTATGGAGCAAGATGTTGTCACAAAAATAAATAAATAAATAAATAAATAAATAAATAAAAGAACACAGCAAGATTTTCACCCTCTGCCCAGAAATTCTAGCCTTTTGAGGGCTAGCATATGTTCTTTGGGAAATTGGACTCACCCAGCCTAAAACAAAAGTCTATACAGTACTATTGTTTTCCCATCATAAATTGAAGTTCGGGCCAGGCACGATGGCTCACGCCTGTAATCCCAGCACTTTGAAAGGCCAAGGCAGGCAGATCACTTGAGGTCAGAAGTTCGAGACTAGCCTGGCTAACACGGTGAAACCACATCTCTATTAAAAATACAAAAATTAGCCAGGCGTGGTGGCACATGCCTGTAATCCCAGCTACTCGGGAGGCTAAGGCAGGAGAATCGCTTGAACCCGGGAGGTGGAGGTTGCAGTGAGCTGAGATCATGCCACTGTACTTTATTTAGCCTGGGCAACAGAACAAGACTTCGTCTTAAAAAAAAAAAAAAAAAAAAATTCAAGTTCAAATCTGTTAACCAAGGGTTGTCCATTAGAGTACATATTAATTATGTCACATTGTTTTGGGATGGCAAAAGGAAGCGGGGAGCCACCGTGTGCCCAGTAGCCACTGAGGCAAGGGCTTAAATTACAGCAAGAGAAACTAAAATTAGACATGGGAAAGAATTTACTTCAGTTAGCTGCTTCTAATTAGTAAAAGGATGGCTAGCTGGCTGGCTGGATGGATGGATCATGAGAGTGCATATGAATGTAGTGATGTGAAAATGAGGAAAGTATAGCTCAAAACTATATTCCACTCAATTATAATAACCTCTACTTAAAAGCACCTCCATACCTTTTCATATTCTTCCAAAATTCCTTTCTTCTTGATATTTCTCTTGGCCAGATAGATAGCTGGAAAAGAAAGCAATGACATTTTCCATCATCATCTTTCAGAACCCCATCTGCAGCCTCCCTGAGCCTGAGGCTGCTGCGCTCAGAGTTGGGGAGAGAATGCTCAGCACACCCAGTCCCTTGCCCCTGGGGACATGCCCAGTGCAGATGCGGACTGACATAAAGGTCATGATGACAGCAAGACAAATGTCACCAAAATGCAGCAAGTAGATAAGCAGCATGTTAAGCACTACCAAAGGCATAGTTGGGACTGAAGTATTTACCGTAATCGGTATCTTCAGCTGGCCACTGCTGGGTGGGCCAGAAATACGGTGTCTGCAAAAGAAACCAGGGAAACCACACTTTAAAACTGGATTGTGACTCAATGGACCCCAACTCTGTGACTAAAGAAATCGAACCACCTTAGCCCCCTCCACCGTTTCTGAAGTCCTGATCTGTGAAACTATGAACCCGACCTTTACAAATGAGATCTTTTCAAATGAGATCAACCCTATATGAACAGCCAAGGTCAAGGCCAAGACTCACCTGAAATCGGTAGAGGCTGCCATCAGGCTTGAGAACGAGATTCTTGGGGTCTTGCAGGGGGTAAATGTAGCCATACCTGACAATAAAGTTGCCCAAGTTCTGTGCCTCTGGGAAAAGCAGTTCAGACACGGATGTTAAGAGCAGGTCTGAGACAGGAGCTCATTGCCAGCCCCCACAGCACCCCAAACTCCAGGACAGGTGCCCCCTCCTAGCAGCACTGCATCTCATGAGCAGTGAGGACACTGGTTCCTGAACTTGGCTGTGGACAAGCATCAGCTGGGTTGCACGCTAAAAGGAGGACCTCCCAGGTCCTATCCTCAGGAATGACAACTCAGTAAGTCTGGATGGGAACTAGGAAACCTGGATGTTAACAGAACCCACAGGTGGTCTGCTGCAGCAGGTGATGGTTAAGGAAGGCCTAGAGAAGCCTCTGTAGGCCCATTGGGTCTGGGAAAGGTCACAGGACTGGGAAGAAAATGTCTCTGTTGGACCAACGGACACTTTGTCACTCAAAGAATGAGCGAGGAGCACCATGTTTATTGCCAACTTCTATCCCAAGCTCACCTCTACCTGATCCCAGGTCCTCTCCTTCCCATTTCACTTTAATTCCTACCCTGCTCCAGTTTATTTGGAAGCACAGCCTTGTTTATCAATTATATCAATTAAAGGACAAACTTCTTTGGTTCTTTCTCCAAAGCACCAATGAAAGCAGATGTCTTTCCATCCTCTGGAGGGGATTCCATCCCTCCATTCCTGCAGGAACCCCCAGTCCAAGGACTCAACCCATTTCCCCATCCCATAGCTCAGCCTCCAAGGTGTGGGAAGACCTCCTCCCCAACCCTCCCTCTCCAGGTCTCGCTCCCTCCATCAAAGACCGAGTCCTAAAGTTGTATGCCTCATTGTACCAACAGCCTATTTTCTAGTGTGAAATCCCCTCCAGTTTCTTTCTGCTCCAATCCATCTTCTAAATTGCTGCCAGGCACCCTAGTTGAAATACGAGTATCATGCACACTGCCATGCTGGAAAATTGTCTGTGGCGACCTATTGCCTATCTCCCAGATCTTCAGGTGCTCTTCCACCCCTCTGCCACCCTCCATAGCCATCTGGAGCCATGACTGTCAATCTCTCTTGTCGCGCCTCCACTTTCCGCTCATTCCATTTCTACACCATTGTTCTTGCTAGTGTCCCCTTATAGGAAGACCCTCAGAGCTCCTCTTCACCAATTCACAAGCATCACTTCTTTCAAGACCAGCTACACACAGCACCCCCTCCAGGACTTTCTTGACTGAGTCCTCCCCACTTATCCCTGTTATTTATGCTCTAAATATTTGGTATAAAATAACTCTTTTGTCCCCAAATTATCCTGCCTTTGCTTTTGATTCTGGCAGTTTTACACTCGAAGGTCATGACCCTCCAATTAAAATGCAAATTTCTCAGAAACACAGGCTAAGTCTCTATTTAGTTTCTCCCATGGTGCTGTACACACAGCTGTCCTGGATAACTGACTGCCAGATGAGCTCTCACCCAGATTGGAGATCCAAAGCCGCTGGACGATCCATTGCAGAACATCACTTCCTGCAAAACAGAGACGTTTGCGATTATCGTCATAGCCTCCTGACATATCCCTGCTCCTCCACGCTGTTGCCTGACTGGTCTCCTTCCTGTTCAGCTGCATTTTCATTCCTCTTTGCTCAGAACCTTCGGAAACCCCCATCCCATCATGTTCAGTCCCAACTCTGCAGCCTGTAATTCAAGGCTATCCATGATCTCACTCCAGCAGATGTGCAACTTAACACCGCACCGCCTGGCCCGGCCCCCGCCCACACACACTTCATCTTTATCGTCTCTTATCGTATTGACCTTTTACTTGACAGTAACTTGTGCATGGACTAGTATTCACTAACTAGATAGTAAATAGACTAAGTCTAAACACACACACACACACACACACACACACACACACACACACACAAAGGAGACCCGAGGCAAGTCGTTTGCAGGGCTCTGGACCAAGCTAGGACTCATGGGAGTAAAACAGACCCAGGGATGGGAAGAGGACAGGCTGGGGGCTGGGGCTGGCTCTCCATCTCCCCAAGTTCCCAGGCAGAACTCCGACGAGTCAGAAAATTCTAAACTTGAACCTGGCCTTCCATGACGTTGTGAAGGTACTTTTGTCAGGGTAGGAAGATGGGACCTATCCTAGTTGATTTATAACTTTAGATGATGGAATGAAGGCTCCATGTGTACCCTCGCCCCAGGCCTGGCATATCTTAGGGGCTGGCTTGGGAACAACACACACACGCCAAAAAAAAAAAAAAAATGTGAAAAACTGGCATGAAAAACAGCAGGAGATGCAGGCTTGGAGGCCAGGAGAGAATGTCAGCAGGAGATGCAGGCTTGGAGGCAGGAGAGAATGTGCAACCGTGCACCTGTCCCACCCACCCGCTCCCCTCAAGGATTCAGATCTGTCTAAGGGTCAAAGCAAGCCAAGTTCCATCAACAAGTCCAGAGGTGCCATACACCCCCACAGAAGCTCTGAGCCCCTTTCCTCAGCCTGGGCCCTCTGGCCTCACAAGCAGAAGGTACGCCTTCTAGGCACAAGGTAAGAGCATCTCAGAAGATAGACAAGGTGCCCTGGAACGAAGCACCCCATCACAGAGGCCGTCATGCAGACGCCAGTGGTCACATTTCCAGCAATCTTAGCCTGCTTTCCAAAGGCTAAGCTGGAAACCTGTCTGCATGGGAACAGGCCCACAAAACACACCAAAGAAGAGGGCCAGGATTGAGACCCCACTGCCTGTGTTTTTATGTCTGGATAATTGCCAATGATACTTCCCTCCTCGGAGGTGGTGCAGGGACATTTCTTCTTATGACCCACATACACACTCTCTGGGCATAATTGCCTGCCTATGACCATGACTGGGTATAGACAACCTGCAGTTCTTCCCTTCATGCCCACACGCTAGGACACAAATGTCCAGCCATGATCTCTGTCAGTGTCCGCATGCACACCATCGTGGCTTTCCATGGTTCTACTTCTGTTGTTCTTAGCATCATTCACTCCTGGTTGGCTGTTCAAAAGCAAAATCCTTCATCTAAACTCCTACTTAAAATCCTGGGACTAGGTGTTTAGACTTTCCACACCAAGTCTCTCTCTTTAAATGCTACACAGTGTTGCGCAGGCAGAGAGACAGACCCAGGCAGACATCAGACTGATTAGCTCTCTCCACCGAGGAGCTGAGGGCTTTCTCATCCACTTGACTGCCTCCCGAAATAGATCAAATGAGATTATGGTGCCACCAGCCTCTGTACCACGCAGTCTGTGCTGACAGCATGGCAGACTGCTCAGGCTCCCCCATCAGTCACTTTTGTCCCGAGGAAGCCCTGGGACGCCTGCCGTCCAAGAAGTTAAATAATTTGTTTTTATCGGTGCTGATGTTGCAGGACCAGGGCTTCTCCCTGTGTTGTTTCTACAGCAGCTGGAATTCACCTGTGCAGGAGGAGCAAGGAAAAACATGGCAGGATGGGCACCCTCGCCCAAATCCAGGAACCAAGTGTGCCCCGTGCACAAGGAAGGAAAGCAGCTGGTGCACACTGACAGTGGATAAGAATATGGACTCTGGGCTGGGCGCGGTGGCTCATGCCTGTAATCCCAGCGCTTTGGGAGGTCAAAGCGGGCAGATCACCTGAGGTCAGGAGTTTGAGATCAGCCTGACCAACATGGTGAAACCCCATCTCTACTAAAAATACAAAAATTAGCTGGGTGTGGTGGTGGACGCCTATAATCCTAGCTACTTCAGAGCTGGGGCACGAGAATCGCTAGAACCCAGGAGGCAGAAGCTGCAATGAGCCAAGATAGCACCACTGCACTCCAGCCTGAGCAATAGAGCAAGAGCCTGTCTCAAACAAAATAAATAAATAAAAGTAAAAATTAAAAATAAATAAACAAATATATACATATATATGGACTCTGGAGTCACATTGCTGGGCTGAAATTCAAGCTCACTCATGAAATGAGCTTAAGGACATGAAGGCAAGTTGCTGAAACTCTTTGGTCTCCATAGCCCCATGTGCAAAATGTGGGCAGTCATATCTACCCTTAACTTTATTGTGGGTGTTAACAGACAACGCATGGGCAAGTGCTAGCTACCACCACCATCCAGCACCCGCTGCACACTCAGCACCTGCACAACACTCTCTCACTTCCTTCCTGCACTCGTTCCCTTAGGGAGGGATTGCTATTCTTGCATTAAAAATGAGAAAACTGGCCAGCTGTGGAGACTTGAGCTGGCAATCCCAGCACTTTGGAAAACCGAGGCAGGAGGATCACTTGAGCCCAGCAGGTCAAGCCTGCAGTGAGCCATAATTGCATGACTGCACTCCAGCCTGGAAGGCAGAATGAGACCCTGTCTCAAAACAAACAAACAAACAAACAAAACGATGGAGAGAGTAAACTGAGACCAGGGCTATAGCTAGAAAAGACACCTGAAGGATTTAATCCTGCACTCTCCACACAATGACAGACAAGAAGTGACTCACGCATTCAATAAACTTTTACTAACCATCTATTACAAACACAGCTCTGCTAAGCATTGGGGTTACCTAGATGAGCAAGACAAGATACTTTCCCTCGAAGGGCCCCAGTCCAGTGGAGAATTCAGGCCAAAATTAATGACAATCAGAGGCAGGGAGGGGGACGGGGTCAGGGATGCCTTCAGGAAGAATTGTCCCGGCTGCATCTGAGGTGATGGGGGATGTAAAGGCACCCTGAAAAGTCTGCCCACTGTTTCCACTCTTTGGGTGCCCAGAGCTACTCTGGTTCTTAGCCTTTCCAAAGTCTGGCTTGTCAATGTTTCCTTTCCCTCCATGAGCTGCTCTATAGCGTTTCAATTAATTCCCCTTTTGCTCCAACAAAAGAATGGGTCTTCTGTTGCTTGCACGCAAGGAAATCTGAGTGACACATTGCTGGTGGGGGCATCCTTTCTTCTAAGCAGTCAGAAAGGGAAAGGGGAGGCTGTGAGCCAGCTTGTCTCTGCAAAGACTAGGGCACCTTGAGTGAAAAATAAATAGTCAAGTCAGGGGTGGCATAGAGGGAGGCACAGCAGTGGTGAGGCCCTGGCTTGGGCTATGAGAAGCTGTCTGCTTCTGCAGGCAATGCACCTAAGTATGAAACATTGTCTTTACTGCAAAATCAAGATCAGAAAACAGGTAACACATTAACCAAAATGCTCTCCTAGTTTGGTGTCCAGCCCCTCTTGCCAATATCCCCAAATGATGCTCTGCAGGCATGTCACCCCCCCACACACACACAGAGAGAGAGGAGACAGTGGCATCACCCCGAAAGGGTAGTTGAGAAGGGCCTGAAATGAATTAGAGGTAGAAGGTGGAGCAAAACAAAGGCCAACTTTTTTCTGCTAAATAGTATTTTTTTTTTCTGCTACTTGGTTTCATTAAAACAAAGCAAACAAAACAACAAACAAAAAATGACAGTGAAGGTATCTAAAATGAACTTCTGGGAGGAATGGCTTCAGGAAATGACCTGTTGAGTCCTTTTCTCCCTCCTGACCCCTTCCTCAGAGGAAGACTTTAGTCCAGGAGTCAGCAAATGTACTCTGCAGAGCGCTAGATAGTAAATAAACATTTCAGCTTTGTGGGAGTCTTGTTCTGTCATCCAGGCTGGAGTGCAGTGGTGTGATCTTGGCTCACTGCAACCTCTGCCTCCCAGGTTCAAGCGATTCTCATGCCTCAGCCTCCCAAGTAGCTGGGATTACAGGCATGCACCACCACACCTGGCTAATTTTTGTATTTTTAGTAGAGATGGGGTTTCCCCATGTTGGTCAGGCTGGTCTTGAACTCCTGACCTCAGGTGATCCACCTGCCTTGGCCTCCCAAAGTGCTGGGATTATAGGTGTGAGCCACTGTGCCTGTCCACAACTATATATTTTAACTCTGCCATTGTAGTGTAAGAGCAGCCATAGACAATACATAAATGAGTGAACATGGATGTGTTCCAATAAAACTTTATTCAGAAATAAACTTTTTTACAAATACAGGAGGTGGGCCGTATTGGGCCTCTGGGGTCTATTCCAGGCCAAGACTAAAGTGCAAGCTACATCACCTGTCATGGCATGAGGAACGCTGGTGACCAGGACCCTCTGGTTCTGCATTCGGACCCCTGTCTCTGGGTTCTGCATGTCCTTCACGAGCGCTTCAATCTGTAAGACAGAAGGGGAAAAAGCCGACTGATGAGAACAATTTTGAAAGTTGTGCAGGGCCATTTCCACTGCACTGAGAGGGATCTCAAAACGCAAAGGCAGACACCGGGATTCCCCATCTGGTACAGGAGCCAGGTGGGCACTGAGTGACTCTAATGCAGCCAGGACTAAGGTGTGCTCCACAGCCACAGATCCCATCCCTGCGCGTGAAGACTCGCACATTCATCCTGACTGGGAGATTCTGGAGTGGCTTTTAAGGAAAGATGGAGCTTAACGAGAAAGGATTTTGCTGGGCCGGGTGTGGTGGCTCATGCCTGTAATCCCAGCACTTTGGGAGGCTGAGGCGGGCGGATCACGAGGTCAGGAGATCGAGACCATCCTGGCTAACACGGTGAAACCCTGTCTCTACCAAAAAAGACAAAAAAATTAGCCGGACGTGGTGACGGGCGCCAGCAGTCCCAGCTACTCCGGAGGCTGAGGCAGGAGAATGGCATGAACCCGGGAGGCGGAGCTTGCAGTGAGCCGAGATCACGCCACTGCACTCCAGCCTGGGCGACAAAGCAAGACTCTGTCTCAAAAAAAAAAAAAGAAAGGATTTTGCTGGACAGAAAGTGAAGGAACACCATGGGCAAAGGCGTGAAAGGATGACAGCTCCCAGGGTTAGTGGAACAGAAAACAGCAGGAGTTACCGCTGGAATAGCCAGTAGAGGCCAGATCACATGGACCTCAAAGCCACCCCTGCAGTGTAGATTTTGTTCCAGTGACTGTTCCTGGAGAGCATTTTGGAAACGTGGCCCATGACAGAGAGAAGAACATGAAGTATGAAGAAGTTTGCAGAGGTAGAGAAAAGTGCAGTGACCTCTTCAAAGCTATTGCATACAGCCCAGGTGAGGAACAACAGTGACCAGGCACAGGGGCTCACGCCTGTAATCCCAAATTCTGGGAGGCAGAGGCGGGAGGATCGCTTGAGTCCAGGAGTTTCTGACCTGCCTGGGCAACATAGTGAGGTCTTGCCTCTACGAAAAACTTAAAAATTATCTGGGCATGGTGGCACATGCCTGTAGTTCCCAGCTACTTGGGAGACTGAGGCAGGAGGATCACCTGAGCCCAGGAGTTCCAGGCTACAGTGAGTTATGATCGCACCACTGCACTCAGCCTGGGTGACAGAGCGAGACCCTGTCTCTTTTTACAAAAAGAAAAGAAATGACAGCGCTTCAACCCTTAGCACTCCCACTCTTCGTACTCTCAGCAGAGCAGGCAGATGGGCTTTCCATTATTTTAGAATATGTCACTCTTCTGCGTGGCTGTTCCACTGCAAGGGCCACTTGACACCGAGTAAATGATAAAGTTTCTCTACTGGTCTACATGTTCGGGACCTCCTTCCTCTCTGACTTCTTTCCTACCACTCCCCACCAGCTCCCTCTGATCTAGCCACACTGGCCACCTTCCTTCCCCCAGCCATACCAAGGACACTCCCGGCCAGCCTTGGGTGGGTCCCATGCTCTGGCTGTTCCCTCTACCTGGGCCAGTCTTCCCAAGAGACCAATTTGGCTCCCTCCTCACCTCCTTCCCCTTCTGACGGTCTCAGGAGGCCCACCCTGACCATTCCTAAAGCTGCAACCCTGAACTCCACCCTTGGCATTCCTGACCCCCTGCTCTGTTTCTCAAGAGCATGCGTGTTCTTCAAACATACAAAATAATTGACCTAGTTATTACATTGTTGATGGTGCATCTCCCTTTGCTCCTGGAAAGTAAGCTCTTCCTGGGGGTCTTTGTCTGTTGTTGTTTGCAGCTGGATGTCAAGTGTCAGGAAGCGTGCCTGGCACATAGGTAGTACCCAGTAAGCAGGTGATGTGAATTAATAAATAAATGAGACAGTGGCCAGGAAGATGGTAAGGAGGCATGACTTTCAGAGCCCTAAAAGAGCAAAAATAAACTGTATTTGCAAGTGACTGAGTGGTTCACTGAGGGTGACACAGAATAATGCCAAGGTTTGTAACTTACGCGACCAGAGTTACCAGTTACCAAACTAGAAAATGCAAAAGAAGAGCCACTTCTGGAAGCAAAGGCATCTGCCTTGGCAGGTCGACTGCAAGGGGCTGCTGAGATTCCCACAACGTCTGGGAGGTGATTGGAAATGACTGCCCCAGGTTCAGAAGAGACAGGGTCAGAGACATGAATCAGAGCCACGAATGTCAGGGAGAGTGGAAGCTAAAGAGAATCAAGAAACTGTCCGAGGAAGCCTGAACTGCAGGAAGGCAGCCACAACGACAGCCCTGACTATCTTTAGAGCTGTTTTTTTTTTCATTTTTATTACTAAAAATTATTTCCCACTTGAAAAAATCAAATGGAAATAATATCAACTGAAGGATTTATTTTTATTTTATTTTATTTTTTGAGGCAGGTCTCCCTCTGTCGCCCAGGCTGGAGCACAGTGGCACGAACTTGGCTCACTGCAACTGTCACTTCCTGGGCTCAAGCAACTGTCTTGCCTCAGTCTCCCGAGTGGCTGGGATTACAGACACATGGCACCACGCCCGGCCAATTTTTGTATTTTTAGTAGAGACGGGGCTTCGCCATGTTGGCCAGGCTGGTCTTGAACTCCTGACCTCAAGTGATCCACCCGCCTCAGCCTCCCAAAGCGCTGAGATTATAGTCGTGAGCCACCTCATCCAGCCTGAAGGATTTTTTTTTTAAACAAACTGGATGTTTGACACTAGTCAACAAAGATGACTAGAGAAAACCCAGGTGTTTCTCTTGTTATTCGGTGTTTGCTACTGACCCTGACAAAGCTTCATGTGCAGAGGTTTCAAACTTCATGTTCCCCTAGAAAAGCCCTCACTAACGGGAAAGCTGTCTACTCCCCATGTCCCAGATGTACTTGCCAATGGTCAGTTGGTCATTCGACATCCAGGCACAGTCATGATGGACTCTGGGAAACCAGAGAGAAGCAGCTGTGGTCCCTGAGCCCAAAGATCTCACTGACCAGTGCAAGCATATTCCAGGATAATGCACAATGTGCAATGACAAGGGTGAGTCTATGGTGTCATGTGAACACAGCAGTGCCTAGGGCTGGGCAGGAGGGAAGGACTCCTCCTAGATTGATTTTTCTTTCTTTTTTTTTAGACTGAGTCTTGCTCTGTTGCTCAGGCTGGAGTACAGTGGCGCGATCTCAGCTCACTGCAATCTCCACCTCCTGAGTTCAAGCGATTCTCTTGCCTCAGCCTCTCGAGTAGCTGGGATTACAGGTGCCCACCATCACGCCCAGCTAATTTTTGTATTTTTAGTAGAAACAGGGTTTTACCATGTTGGCCAGGCTGGTCTCAAACTCCTGATCTCAAATGATCCACCCACTTCGGCCTCCCAAAGTACCGGGAGTACAGGCATGAGCCACTGCGCCCAGCTTCCTAGGTTGAATTTTACAAAGTTTGGCAAGTATTAGGAAGCAGAAAGAGAAAAGGAGCATGGGTGAGGGTGTTCCAGGCGGAAGGGCCACAGGAGCAGAAGCACAGAACGTGAACCAGCAGCGGGGAACAAAGCCCTTTCCTGCCTTCACGCCCAGGGCTCTCTCCTGAGGTCTGGGCTGCTGCGTGCAGCTGGACATCCACGTGGAAGGCTGCTCTCACACCCAGTCTGTCCACATTCCCACCATTACCCGAAGTAAAACATTTCATCCATTTACCTGTTTCCCCTCTCCCCTCCATTTAGCCACCTTGCTTACACCATCATTAGTCTCTTGGCATTGAATTAAACAACATCTCCCAACACTGGCTCATTAAAATTTACAAAATCCTTTTGTGATCTGAAGGTACTTGCTTGCGGTCCAAAGAAAAAGCACTCAGGCTCCGTGGGATTTCCCTTCTCTCTTTACTGTAGGATCTTGGGCAACTCACTTAACCTCTCTGAATCTCCTTTCTCTGCCATAACATGGGCACCATGATAGTATGTGGACTACTAAATGATTCTATAATACCTTAGAATTTAATTAATTTGTGGCTTTATAATCCCTTAGAATTTAATTATGTAAAATGCTCCATAAGGAGAGATATATGTTATGTATGCATAATGATATATGCTGTGTCAGGAGAGACATATGTTCATTGCTATGGTTAGAATTACTAATATTAGTAGCATTCATACTAATACATTTTGAAACTTTGCATGCAGGGTTGTGTTTAGGTGCCCAGGAATAGAAACCCAGGTCAACAAAGCAAATAAGTATAGGTATTTATGGAGCATGTATTAAGAACCCTGTACTGCAAGGATACAAGGTAAAAGACATATACCCAGTCTTCAGAGAGTTGAGCAGACAGTTACATGAAAATAAAAAGTTAACTAATATGAAAGCTAGGAGTCTGAATGCAGAGAAAGCTCAGTTCACATCTCTGCTCCAATTTAGAAGCTAGAGGCTTTAGGTAAATTGCTAAATTTCACTAGGACTCATTTATCTGTAAAACAGAGCTTACAATAGTATCAGGCCCGGTGTGATGGCTCATGCCTGCAATCTCAGCATTTTGGGAGGCCAAGGTGGGTGGATCACTTGAGGTCAGGAGTCCAAGACCAGCCTGGTCAACATGGTGAAACACCATATCTGACAAAAATACAAAAATTACCCAGGTGTGGTGGCAGGTGCCTATAGTCCCAGCCACTTGGGAGGCTGAGGTGGGAGAATCCCTTGAACCCAGGAGGCAGAGGTTGCAGTGAGCCGAGATCACATCACTGCACTCCAGTCTGCACAACAGTGAGACCTTGTCTCAAAACAAAAACAAAAACAAAAACAAAAATACACCAAAACCATTCATCATAGGGATATTGTGAAGACTAAATGAGATTAAGCATACAAAGTATTTCATATCATTCTGTGCACAAAGTATTTATGAAATAGCAATTGCAAGTCAGACATGATGGCTCATGCCTGTAATCCCAGCTACCCGGAAGGCTGAGGCAGGAAGATCACTTGAGCCCAGGAGTTCAAAACCAGCCTGGGAAACACAGGGAGC